GAAGGGGAGTCTTGTTCCCTAAGCAGTTCCCAGCTTGACTTTTCCCTTTTGCTTGGTGATTTGGGGCCCTAAATTCATTTTCCTTACACACAGCTGAGCCTTCGCCCTACCCCGGGTCCACATTGTCTGTTCTATTTGATTATTTTTGTGCCTTTGCCATCTGCTATTTGGATCCTAGTGAGAACAAGGCCCCAAGGGAAGAGCAGAGCCAGAACGTGGGGCTGTGCTGGGCTCGTCCCTCAGAGTAGAGCTCAACCCTGGCTTCACATTAGACTGCAGAGCATTTTGCAAATAGAGCATTTGTGCTGCTTTCGCAGGGATTTTTATTCTGAAGGGCTGGAGTCCACCCTCAGTAATAGCTGCAGTGGCCCAGGTGCTTGTCATCTGTGTGCAGCATTGAGCATCGAAGCTCTGTGTCCCCCGTTTCTGAGGGCTGAGCTCAGCCTGTGATCCACAGAGAGATGAGGGGCTGTCCTCTGGATGGGGTTTGGTCAGGGATAGGTCTGTATCCTGAAGGGGAGATCAGTCCAGCCCAGCTGCCCCTGCTGCCTCGTGTGTGGGGGTTTCTCCAGGAGGGGAGTGAGATCTGAAGACCGGGGTCAAACATACACTTACAGGTCTTCCTGTGGGGCTTTCTTATCTCTGCATGGTCTCTGGTGCAGTGGGCAGTGGGGGACCATCTTTCTACAGGGTGAGGTCTCCCCTGTTCGTGTGTTTTTGTCACAGGAAGGGAGTGAGTCATTTCTAACATGAAGTCTTTTTTTCACATACAGGATTGATTTCTAAAGACTCATGTTACGTGAGCAAGCAGCTGAGAAGAGGAAAGGAAAGGAGGCAGACATGGCCCTTCCTCAGGTGAAGTGATGTTCCTCTGGGGATTAATCTGTCTCTTTCCTTTCTGAAATGCCAGGTATTGTAGTAGCCAGTCTTTTCTGAGTCTGAAGCATTTTGCCTGACAGGTTTGCTCGCACTCACCCATGCCTGCCCTCAGTTCCTGTCATCTGCACTGAGATTTCATCTCCTGTGACCCAGTGACATGAACTTGGGAAGAGGCTCCACTGGGCACGGTCCTGGGAAGGGCTCACACCCAGACATGGATGAACATGGAGTGTGGGCCCATGGATGTCAGTGCTGCTGGGCAGCCTGGATGGTTCAGGGGCCACATCTGGATGTCAGCTCAGAGAAACTACATATGAAATACATATGTTAATGTGCACAGATATCTGGTAAATTCTGGAAAAGGAGACAAATAAGGGGAGATATTTCATATCTGATTTGGTAATGTATTTGAAGCCACACGAGTAGATCAACATGTCTCTTTCTCCAAAATTTTTTTTTTTTTAAGAGACAAGATGTTGGTCCAGGTATGGTGGCTCACACCTGTAATCCCAGCACTTTGGGAGGCCAAGGCAGGTAGATCACTTGAGGTCAGGAGTTCGAGACCAGCCTAGCCAACACGGTGAAACCCCACCTCTACTAAAAGTATAAAAATTACCTGGGTGAGGCCGGGTGCGGTGGCTCACGTCTGTAATCCCAGCACTTTGGGAGGCCAAGGCGGACGGATCACGAGGTCAGAAGATCAAGACCATCCTGGCTAACACGGTGAAACCCTGTCTCTACTAAAAATACAAAAAAATAGCCGGGCGTGGTGGTGGGCACCTGTAGTCCCAGCTACTCAGGAGGCTGAGGCGGGAGAATGGCGTGAACCCGGGAGACGGAGCTTGCAGTGAGCCGAGATCGTGCCACTGCACTCCAGTGTGGGTGACAGAGCGAGACTCTGCCTCAAAAAAAAAAAATTACCTGAGTGTGGTTGTGCATGCCAGTAATCACAGCTACTCAGGAGGCTGAGGCAGGAGAACCAGTTGAACCCAGGAGGTGGAGGTTACTGAACGCTGAAATTGTGCCCCTGCACTCCAGCCTTGGAGACAGAGTGAAACGCTGTCTCAAAAGAAAAAAGAGAGAGGAGAGAAGATGTTGTACTCTTAATTCTGGAGTACAATGGCGCAATTCAGAGTTTACAGCAGCCTCAAACTCCTGGGCTCAACTAATTCCTGCTTTAGCCTCCCGAAGAGCCTGAAGGATAGGCATGGGTCACTATATATATCTATGTATGTATGTATGAATGAATGTATATATGTATTTATTTATTTGTATTAAGATGGAGTCTCACTCAGTCACTAAAGCTGGAGTGCAATTGCACGATCTCAGCTCACTGCAACCTCCACCTCCCAGTTTCAAGCAATTCTTCTGCCTCAGCCTCTCAAGTTGCTGGGACTACAGGCACGCACCTCCACACCCAGCTAATTTTTGTATTTTTAGTTGAAACGGGGTTTCATCATGTTGGTTAGGCTGGTCTCGAACTCCTGACCTCGTGATCTGCCTGTCTCAGACTCCCAAAGTGCTGGGATTAAAGGTGTGTGCCACCGTGTCCAGCCTTATTTTTTACATTGTATTTTTATTTTGTTGTCCAGGCTGGAGTGCAGTGGTGCAATCACAGCTCACTATAGCCTTGATATCCTGGCCTCAAGTGATCATCCCATCTTGGCCTCCCAAATTGCTGCATTCCAGATGGGAGACAGCCAGCCCGGCCTGACTCTGCACTTTTTTGAGGTGGAGTCTCACTCTGTTGCCCAGGTTGGATTGCAGTGGCGGGATCTCAGCTCTCTGCAACCCCTGCCTTCTGGCTTTAAGCAATTCTTTTGCCTCAGCCTCCCGAGGATCTGGGATTACAAGCATTTGCTGCCACACCTGGCTAATTTTTTTGTATTTTTAGTAGAGATGGGGTTTCACCATACTGGTCAGGCTGGTCGAACTCCTGACCTTGTGATTCCTCCAGCTCGGCCTCCCAAAGTGCTGGGATTACAGGCCTGAGCCACTGTGGTTGGCCAAACTCTGCACTTTTAATGACTTGGAATGGAATGGAAAGTGGAGATAGGCATCAGTGATAGGCTTTATTACATCATTGATTTAACTTTATTTTTTAATATTTTTTGAGTTGTGTCTCACTCTGTCGCCCAGGCAGGAGTGCAGTGGTGTGATTTCGTTTCACTGTAGCCTCTGACTCCTGGATTACAGTGATTCTGTTGCCTCAGCCTCTCAAGTAGCTGAGTTTAGAGGTGCGTGCCACCACCTGTGTAACGGCATGATGGGATGTGTGTGCGTGAATACATGGATGGATAAGCCCATGGTTTATATAGAAAACACAACATTTGTAATAAGTTTTATTTTTTATAATAATTGTAATGATTTTAACTATTTTTCATTTGCAATATGTTTTATTTTTTATAATTGTAATGATTTTAAGTATTTTTTATTTGGAAGGCTGAGGCAGGTGGATCACAACATCAGGGGTTCAAGACCAGCCTGGCTAAGGTGGTGAAACCCCTTCTCTACTAAATATACAAAAATTAGATGGATGCGGTGGCAGGTGCCTCAAATCCCACCTACTGGGGAAACTGAGGCAAGAGACTTGCTTGAACCTGGGTGGCAGAGGTTGCAGTGAGCCAAGATTGTGCCACTGCACTCCAGCCTGTGCAATAGTGAGGCTCCATCTCAAAAAAAAGAAAAAAAAAAGTAAGAAATATTGTGGAGGATTATTTGCACGCCTGTATGTGTCTATTCAGTGACCTTGTAGGATGCTCCATGTTCTCACCCTTGACTTTTATCACATTCTCTCTACTAGATAAACCTGCGTCAGTTTAGTTTAAAGCTGTGTCTGTTACTTAGGTGTTTATATTCAAATGTGAACCCCAGACATCTGGATTCAGGTGCTCATGTTGATATTTTTAGCTATTTAATTTGTGACAAGTTTCCTAGAGTGTGTGTGATGTAACTGTCTCCAAGTACAGATCTTTCTTCATGGGATAGTATGTTATTTTATGGCTTATGACATGGGAAGCACTTAGAAGAGTGTATAGCACACGGGAAGCATTCAAGAATGTTAGTCATGGCTATTGCTGTGATCGTGACAGTTTTTTGTTTTTTGAGTTTTTTTGGAGATGGAGTATTGCTCTGTCACCCAGGCTGAAGTGCATAGCATGATATCGGCTCACTGCAACCTCTGCCTCTTAGTTTCAAGCAATTCTATGGCCACAGCCTCCTGAGTATCGGGGATTATAGGCACCCCCCACCACGCCCAGCTAAGTTTTGTATTTTTAGTAGAGAAGGGGTTTCAGCAAGTTCCTAGGCTGGTCTCAAACTCCTGACCTCATGATCTGCCCGCCTTGGCCTCCCAAAGTGCTGGAATTATAGGCATGAGCCACTGTGCCTGACCGATCATGATAGTTTTTTGATTCGGACTTTTCTTTCAAAGCCATTGGACTTTGTCCTCTCTGAAACAGCACTTGTATCTTAGCTCATCTAGAGACTTAATATCACCTGGTATGTTGAACATTATATCTGACATACCTCTAGAGAAAACCCTATATTTGCTTTTTTTTCCCCCCTTTTTTTTTTTGAGATGGAGTATCAGTCTGTTGCCCAGGACGGAGTGCAATGGTGCCAACTTGGCTCACTACAGCCTCCATCTCCTGGGTTCTAGTGATTCTCCTGCCTCAGCTTCCTGTGTAGCTGGAATTACAGGTGCCTGCCACCAAGCCTGGCTAATTTTTATGTTTTTAGTAGAGATAGGTTTTCACCATGTTGACCAGGCTGGTCTTGAACTCTTGACCTCAAATAATCTGCCCGACTTGTCTTCCTGAAGTGTTGAGATTACAGGCGTGAACCACCATGCCTAGCCCTGTGCTTCCTTTTTATTTATATAGTTTTTATATTTTCCGTAAGATCGAGACTTCCATAGTGACTTATGGGATCTTAAAATCTTTGAAGGAAAAGTATAATAAAATGCAACTATGAGGAAAAAATATTCAAAAACACCTTAACGTGGTTTTGCCAGAACAACCTTTGATCAAATAAATACTTATTTTCTCTTTTCTCATTTCCTGTGAAGGTGATAACTCCGTCCTCCATAATGTTTTGTGGAAATGTGTGTTTCATTTTAGGGACGCGTGACTTTCAGGGATGTGGCTATAGAATTCTCATTGGCGGAGTGGAAATGCCTGAACCCTGCGCAGAGGGCTTTATACAGGGAAGTGATGTTGGAGAACTACAGGAACCTGGAGTCTGTGGGTGAGGAAAATGTCCCTGCAGACATGAGGAGTCTGCTCTTGTCTGTCTTGGTTCTTCCTGGTTTTGTATTCTCTTTTGTGATTTTGCCCCATACATGGTTTTTTTGTTTTGTTTTGTTTTGTTTTTGTTTTTTGAGGTGGAGTTTCACTCTTGTTGACCAGACTGGAGTGCAATGGTATGATCTCAGCTCACCATAACCTCTGCCTTCCAGGTTCAAGTGATTCTCCTGCCTCAGCCTCCCAAGTAGCTGGGATTACAGGCATGCACTACCACGTGCAGCTAATTTTGTATTTTTAGTAGAGACGGGTTTCTCCGTGTTGGTCAAGCTCGTCTCTAACTCCTGACCTCAGGTGATCCACCCACCTCGGCCTTCCAAAGTGCTGGGATTACAGGTGTGAGCCACCATGCTCAGCTCATTCTGGTTTTTGAGGAGCATCACAGAAGCGTCTCTCACTGGCACTGTGACAATGTTCATCCCGTAAGCTAATGATCATGTTCTCTAAGCAGCAGTCAGTGGTGTTGAAATTCCTCCTAGTGAGGAGGTCATTTGGGCTCACAGCCTCATATGTTTGAGGCTTTTGACTGAACTCTTGTTCGTTTCGCGTTTTCACACCAATATGTGCCATTGTTCATTTTTAACAAGAAAACCTATGTTCAGTTTGTTGTAGGATCAACCCTGTAACAGATATGGTTTTCATCAATCTTAGTGAGGGAGCTTGTGAGGTTGAATGAGGTTTCCATATTTTACTTCTACTGTCATTTCCTTAAGACACAGTGGCTTTCATCTTGTTGGTTTCTATGTTTTGCTTTGTTTTGTTTTGTTTTTGTTTTTTTTGATTCGGAGTCTCACTCTGGTGCCCAGGCTTGAGTGCAGTGGCGTGATCTTGGCTCACTGCAACCTCCACCTTTTGGGTTGAAGTGATTCTCCTGCCTCAGCCTCTTGAGTGGCTGGGATTACAGGCATGTGTCACCACACCCGACTAATTTTTGGTAGTTCTATTCCCGATGGCGGTTTCGCCATGTTGACCAGGCTGGTTTTGATAGCCTGGCCTGACGTGATTCAGTGGCCTTGGATTCCCAAATTGCTGGAATTACAGGCATGAGCCACCGCCCCTGGCCCCATCCGAGTTTGTTTTTAAGGCTGAATAATATTCCATTGTATGTATATACCACATTTTGTTCATATATTTACCTGTCAATGGACATCTGGGTTGGTTTCTTGTCTTTATTCTCATAAATAATACTGTCCAGGTGGGTGCGGTGGCACACACCTATAATCCCAGCACTTTGGAAGGCTGAGGTGGGTGAATCACCTGAAGTCAGGAGTTGGAGACCAGCCTGTCCAATGTGGTGAAACCACATCTCTATTAAAGGTACAGTTCTTTTTTTTTTTTTTTTTTGAGACGGAGTCTCGCGCTGTGTCACCCAGGCTGGAGTGCAGTGGCGCGATCTCGGCTCACTGCAAGCTCCGCCTCCCAGGTTCACGCCATTCTCCTGCCTCAGCCTCCGAGTAGCTGGGACTACAGGCGCCCGCCACCACGCCCGGCTAGTTTTTTGTATTTTTAGTAGAGACGGGGTTTCACCATGTTAGCCAGGATGGTCTCGATCTCCTGACCTCGTGATCCACCCGCCTCGGCCTCCCAAAGTGCTGGGATTACAGGCTTGAGCCACCGCGCCCGGCCTCTTTTTTTTTTTTTAAGACTGAGTATTGCTCTGTCACTCAAGCTGGAGTGCAGTGGTGCAACCTCAGTTCACTGCAAACTCCGCCTCCCGGGTTCAAGCAATCTGCTACCTCAGCCTTTTGAGTAGGTGGGATTACAGATGTGCACCACCATGCCTGACTAATGTTTTGTATTTTTTTAGTAGAGACAGTGTTTCACCATGCTGGCCTGGCTGGTCTCGAACTCCTGACCTTGTGATCCACCCGCCCATCCAGTGTGCTGGGATTACAGAAGTGAGCCACTGCACTCAGCCAGGCTCTGTTTTCACAAGCACATCACTACCTACTCATCCAGGGGATCCTTGTTCTCCCCCATGGTCTCCTACATTGCTGCACTGTACTCTTCATAGCGTTTACTTGTTCTTTTTGTGTGTATGCATTTCTGGAATCTACACAGGGAATTTTGTTGAGTACATGCTTGAAACTAGAAATCAGAGGCATTGAATTTAAGAGATGTAAAACTGCTTTCACCTCAGGCCACCATACTGCTACTTTCTTGGATCTCTTTCATTCTTGTCCCTTGCCCGTATTATAATTTGCATAGTTAACCTTGGGTCAATATTTTACCATTTGCTAAATTAGTTCCACTTTCCTCCAAGCTGAAGTTTTGGTCTATCCTAGTGGAATTCTATTCCCACAGACGTGCATGTACAAAGTTCACTCCTACATGCCCATTACTTCCTGCCTTCCACACTTACCCTTTCTTTCATGTCCTTGCCTCACTTGATACATTGATCTGGAAGCAAATACTGTTTCTTTCCACCCTATTGATTTTGTAATGCCTGATGCCCCAATTTCCCCTGTGAGCCCCTCCTCTCCAACACTACTCTCACTGAGTAAGTCAAGACCTTATTCATCCACTGGACAAAATTGTACAAAGCTGCCTAAATCAATGTGTGCAGGGCATGATGTCTCAGCACGTGGTCCATGAGGGATGGCTTAGCACCACTGTCAGCAGCACAGCTCAGCCCTTGTGTCCCAGCTTAGCCTTTGTATCCCGCTTGATGTACTTATTTCTGTTCTCCTTGAATTTTCTATGACTTGTCATTTTCTGTACTGCCTGGGCTGACTATTGTGCCTAAGAACATGTGGTGGGATGCTTCAGGCCCAGGATCAAGTCTTGTCCCTCACTTACCATATGTGCAAACTGGGGTCATGTATATGACCATTATGGGCCTACTGTCATTATTTGAGAAATAATATTAATTTGCTTCCAGGGTTGGTTTTTTTTTTTTTTTTTTTTTTTTTGAGATGGAATTTTGCTCCTGTTTCCCAGGCTGAAGTGCAATAGCACAATCTCAGTTCACCGCAACCTCCACCTCCCGTGTTCAAGCGATTCTCCTGCCTCAGTCTCCCAAGTAGCTGGGATTACAGGCATGCTCCACCATGCCTTGCTAATTTTGTATTTTCAGTAGGGATGGGATTTCACCATGTTCGCTAGGCTGGTCTCGAACTCCTGACCTCAAGTGATATACCCTCCTCAGCCTCCCAAAGTGCTGGAATTACAGGCATGAGTGCCCGGCCTTTTTTTTTTTTTTTTTTTTAAGTCAGATTTCCCTCTTGTTGCTCAGGCTGGAGTGCAATGATGCAATCTCAGCTCACTGCAACCTCCACTTCCAGGGCTCAAGTGATTGTCCTGCCTCAGGCTCCCAAGTAGCTGGGATTATGCCTGGTGCAAGCCTGGCTAATCTTTGTATTTTTAGTAGAGATGGGGTTTCCCCATAATGGTAAGGCTGGTTTCCAACTCCCAACCTCAGGTGATTAATCCACCTGCTTTTTAAAACAAGTGAATACTATTAGACTTCTTCATATATTATAAGTTTTATAGTAGATATTCTAAACTTCCTTTGTTTAATAAGATTTGTCAGTCTTTGGTTATGTTGATGATGAGATGCCTCTTTTCCTGTCTCACTCATTTTACTGTTCTGTCAAAAATAGCTTACACTGGCCAGCCGCAGTTCGAGACCAGCCTGGCCAACATGGTGAAACCCTGTCTCTAGTAAAAATATAAAAATTAGCTGAGCGTGTTGGTATGAACCTGTAATCCCAGCTTCTTGTGAGACTGAGACAGGAGAATCACTTGAACCTGGGAGGTGGATGTTGCAGTGAACCATGATCACACCACTGCACTCCAGCTCCGGTGACAGTTAGATTCCGTTCCCCACCCCCCCCCCAAAAAAATTAGCCAGGCATAGTGGCACATGTCTGTAGTCCCTGCTACTCAAGAGGCTGAGGCATGAGTATCTCTTTAGGTAGGAGAATCGTGCCACTACCTGGGTGATGAAGCATTACTCAGTCTCAAAAATAGATAAAAAAAGAAATAGCTTAAACTGGAAATCTTAAGACATAGAAATGTATTTCTCATGAATCTGGAGAGTGGGAAATCCAAGAGCAAGATGTCAGTTAGATTGGTTCCTGGTGAGAGCCTTCTTCATGGTTTAGCGCAGCCATCTTCCTGCTGTGTCCTGACATGATGGAAAGAGGAACAGGCAATCAGCTCTTTACTGTCTCTTTTTATAAAAGCATTAGTCCTGGCCGGGCGTGGTGGCTCACGCCTGTATTCCCAGCATTTCGGAGGCTGAGATGGCCAAATCACATGAGGTCGGGAGTTTGAGACCAGCCTGACCAACATGGAGATACACCGTCTCTACTAAAAATACAAAATTAGCCGGGAGCAGTGGTGCATGCATTTAATCCCAGCTACTCAGATGGCTGAGGTGGGAGAATCGCTTGAACCTGGGAGGCAGAGGTTGCAGTGATTCTAGATCACGCTATTGCACTGCAGCCTGGGCAACAAGAGCGAAACTCTTTTTCAAAAATAAATGAAAGAAAACATACAATTAAAAGCCCACCCTAGTCCTATTCACAATTAGTCAACATCCATGACCAAATTCTCTAAAAGGCCCCATCTGCAGGAACATCCTGTCGGAGAATAAGAAACCTGATAATGGCTTTTAGCTAAGACGAACATTCGGGCCAGGGAGCATACATCATATTTTTTGTTTTTATTGTGCACTTAGTTTTATACAATGTTTTCTCTGATCTCAGTTTATAAATTTTCCCGGTACACAGTCTGTATATTTTATGCATAGTGAACTAGATAACCATGGGGAATGCATATATAGAAAATTGCTGTGTTGCCTGGCTATTACATAACTAGAGTTGTGACATCATAATTGCACTTTTCTACACTATTAGTCAATTATTTATCTATTTGTTTGTTTGTTTGTTTGAGACGGAGTCTTGCCCTGTCACCCAGGCTGTAATGCAATGGCGAGATCTCAGCTCACTGCAACCTCCGCCTCGTGAGTCCAAATGATTCTTTTGCCTTATCCTCCAGAGTAGCTGAAATTACAGGTGCCCACCACCACACCCAGCTGTTTCTTTTTGTATTCTTAGTAGAGATGGGGTTTTCCCATGTTGGCCTAACTGTTCTCGATCTCCTGACCTCGTGATCCACCTGCCTCAGCCACCCAAAATGCTGGGATTACAGGTGTGAGCCACCGTGCTCAGCCATTAGTCAATTCTTATTTCTTAAAATGCTGTGTATTTTCTTGACCTCATACCTCAGAAGGTAGTGATCTTATCATGTATTTCTTTTCTTATGTTGTGTGCTGATGCTTAAGTAGAAATTGTGGATTTTTTCTTAAGAGGAATTGTTTAGAATTCTACAGGCTGTATAAATGTACTCATTTGCTTGCTGGTTTTATCATGGGTTACAACATCTTATTTTTATAATTTTACAAACGGCTTTACAGTATGTGGTATACAATATAACTGACACACTACACCCGTTAATGTCACAAAGTGTCACCGGGTGCAGTGGCTCACACCTGTAATCCCAGAACTTTGGGAGGCCGAGGTGAGTGGATTACTTGAGGTCAGGAGTTTGAGACCAGACTGGCCAAGATGGTGAAACCCCATCTCTACTAAAAACACAAAAATTACACAGACATAGTGGTGCGTGCCTGTAATCCCAGGTACTCAGGAGGCTGAGGCAGGAGAATCACTTCAACCCAGGTGGCAGAGGTTGCAGTGAGCTGAGATCATGCCATGGCACTCCAAGCTGGAGTGCAAGACTCCGTCTCAAAAAAATAAAACTACAAAATATTTTTCAAAAGTCACTAAGTGCCTGTTCTGTGTGGATATAAGTAATTTTATGACATTTATTCAGAATACATTGTAACATTTTTTTCTTTTTTTTCCTTTTATTTTTGAGGCAGAGTCTCACTTTGTCTCCCTGGCTGGAGTGCAGTAGTGCGATCTTGGCTCACTGCAACCTCTGCTTCTCATGTTCAAGCGATTCTTGTGCCTCAGCCTCCCGAGTAGCTGTGACTACAGGCACGGGCCACCACACCTGGCTAATTTTTGTAATCTTTTATTATATTCTCTGTGCTATAATTGTTTGACAATACGGAATTTACGTTGCTTTTGGATATCCGTACATGAGGTTGTTGTGGATTATTTACCAATATTGTATATTGTGTGAGTTTTTGTTTTTTAGCATTTGTACACAGTAAATATGAAGAATATATATTTTTCTCTTCATTGATGTGACAGTGATATGTTTTTTGCAAATTGTGATACACTTTAGGGTCACAGTGGAAAAACACTCCTTACTTTCGACTTACTCATGTTTGTGCCCTGTCAGTGTTTTGTCATGATATAGGAAATAGGTTTTCATGGAATTAATTTGAAGGATATGTAAATGCCCTTTGTTTATTAAAGAATCTTATTCCTTTTGTGTTCCTATACTTTGAAGATCATGTTTGGGAAGTTCAAAATAAGTATTCTTTTTGTCTCATATTTACACACTTCAGTATGATTTACCATCTGGACTTAATTGGAAACCTATTGGTGTTTATATTTTACAGATATCTCTTCCAAATGCATGATGAAGGAGTTCTCATCAACAGGGCAGTGCAATACAGAAGTGTTCCACACCGGGACATTGCAAAGACATGAAAGTCATCACATTAGAGATTTTTGCTTCCAGGACATTGAGAAACAAATTCAGGACATTGAGTTTCAGTGTCAAGAAGATGAAAGAAATGGCCATGAAGGACCCATGACAAAAATAAAAATGTTCACTGGTAGTACAGACCGACATGATCAAAAACATGCTGGAAACAAGCCTATTAAAGATCAGCTTGGATCAAGCTTTCATTCACATCTGCCTGAACTGCACATATTTCAGATCAAAGGTAAAATGGGTAATCAACTTGAGAAGTCTACCGATGATGTTCCCTCGGTTTCAACATCCCAAAGAATTTCTTGTAGACCCCAAATCCGTATTTCTAATAACTGTGAGAATAATTCCCCAAATTCTTCATTACTCACAGAAGAACAGAAAGTACACATGACAAAAACATCTTTCCAGTGTAATGAGAGTGGCAAAGCCTTTAATTGTAGCTCACTCTTAAGGAAACACCAGACAATCCATTTAGGAGACAAAATATATAAACGTGATGTATGTGGCAAGGTGTTTAATCACAAGCAGAACCTTGCATGCCATCAGAAATGCCACACGGGTGAGAAACCTTACAAGTGTAATGAGTGTGGCAAGTCCTTCAGTCAGGTGTCATCCCTTACATGCCATCGTAGACTTCATACTGGAGTAAAACCTTACAAGTGTGATGAGTGTGGCAAGGTCTTTGGTCAAAATTCAGCCCTTGTAATTCATAAGGCAATTCATACTGGAGAGAAACCTTACAAGTGTAATGAATGTGACAAGGCTTTTAATCAACAATCAAACTTTGCACGTCATCATAGAATTCATACTGGAGAGAAACCTTACAAATGTGAAGAATGTGACAAAGTTTTCAATCGCAAATCAACCCTTGAGACACATCGGAGAATTCACACTGGAGAGAAACCATACAAATGTAAGGTTTGTGACACAGCTTTCACGTGGAATTCACAACTGGCACGACATACCAGAATTCACACTGTAGAGAAAACTTACAAGTGTAATGAGTGTGGCAAGACTTTCAGTCACAAGTCCTCCCTTGTATGCCATCATAGACTTCATGGTGGAGAGAAATCTTACAAATGTGAGGTTTGTGACAAGGCTTTTGCATGGAATTCACACCTGGTAAGACATACTAGAATTCACAGTGGAGAAAAACCTTACAAGTGTCGTGAATGTGGCAAGACCTTTCGTCAAAATTCAGATCTTTTAGTTCATAAATCAATTCATACTGGAGAACAACCTTACAAATATGAAGAATGTGAAAAAGTTTTCAGTCGCCAGTCAAGCCTTGAGACACATAAGGTAATTCATACTGGAGAGAAACCATACAAATGTAAGGTTTGTGACAAGGCTTTTGCATCTCATTCCTATCTGGCAAAACATACTAGAATTCATAGTGGAGAGAAACCTTACAAGTGTAATGAGTGCGGCAAGACCTTCCGTCTGAAGTCATACCTTGTATGCCATCGTAGAGTTCATAGTGGTGAAAAGCCTTACAAGTGCAATGAGTGCAGCAAGACCTTCAGTCAGAGGTCATACCTTCATTGCCATCGTAGACTTCATAGTGGTGAGAAACCTTACAAGTGTAATGAGTGTGGAAAGACCTTCAGTCACAAGCCATCCCTTGTATACCATCGTAGACTTCATACTGGAGAGAAATCTTACAAATGTACACTTTGTGACAAGGCTTTTGTGCGTAATTCATACCTAGCAAGACATACTAGAATTCACACTGCAGAGAAACCTTACAAGTGTAACAAATGTGGGAAGGCTTTTAATCAACAATCACAACTTTCACTTCATCATAGAATTCATACTGGAGAGAAACTTTACAAATGTGAAGCATGTGACAAACTTTTCAGTCGCAAATCACACCTTAAAAGACATAGGATAATTCATACTGGAGAGAAACCATACAAATATAAGGTTTGTGACAAGACTTTTGGGAGTGATTCACACCTGGCACAACATACTGGAATTCACACTGGAGAGAAACCTTACAAGTGTAGTGAGTGTGGCAAAGCCTTTAGTGAGAAGTCAACAATTATTCCCCATCAGGCAATTCATGGTGTAGGGAAACTGGACTAACGTAATGATTCTCACAAAGTCTTCAGTAATGCTAAAACCATTGTAAATCATTGGAGAATCCATAATGAAGAGAGAGGTTTTTTTTTTTTTTTTGAGACGGATTCTCGCTCTGTAGCCCAGGCTGGAGTGCAGTGGCCGGATCTCAGCTCACTGCAAGCTCCGCCTCCCGGGTTCACGCCATTCTCCTGCCTCAGCCTCCTGAGTAGCTGGGACTACAGGCGCCTGCCACCTCGCCCGGCTAGTTTTTTGTACTTCTTAGTAGAGACGGGGTTTCACCGTGATCCGCCCAACTCGGCCTCCCAAAGTGCTGGGATTACAGGCTTGAGCCACCGCACCCGGCCTGAGAGATCTTACAAGTGTAACAAATGTGGCAACATTTTCAGACATCGTTCATACATTGCAGTTCATTGCAAACTCATACTTGAGAGAAACCTTACAAATGTCATGACTGTGGCAAGGTCTTCAGTCAAGCTTCATCCTATGCAAAAACAGGAGAATTCATACAGGAGAGAAACCTCACAAGTGTGATGATTGTGGCAAAGCCTTTACTTCATGTTCACACCTTATTAGACATCAGAGAATCCATACTGGACAGAAATCTTATAAATGTCATAAGTGTGGCAAAGTCTTCAGTCCAAGGTCACTCCTTGCAGAACATCAGAAAATTCATTTTTGAGATAACTGTTCCCAATGCAATGAGTATAGCAAACCGTCAAGCATTAATTGACATTAGATTCAAATCAGCATTGATTTGAGTTTGTATTGACTTAACATTCAGTTCAAGCCTTAATTGACATTAAAGTGTTTATGTTAAGAGGATTGAGCCAGGTGCGGTGGTTCACGCCTGTAATCCTAGCACGTTGGGAAGCCAAGGCACGTAGGTCACTTGAGGTCAGGAGTTTGAAACCAGCATGGCCAACAGATGTGAGCCACTTTTCCCAACCTTTTTTTGAGATAGTGCTTTTTAAAGAGATAGTACTTTTTTGAGACAGTAGTTTTGAAAAGGGATATACCGTAGTACTTTTTAACAGGGATATCAGGCTGGGTACGGAGGCTCACGCCTGTAATCCCAGCACTTTGGGAGGCTGAGGCAGGCGGATCATGAGGTGAAGAGGTCGAGACCAGCCTTGCTAACACTGCGAAACCCCGTCTCTACTGAAAATACAAAAAATTAGCCAGGCGTGGTGGCGGGTGCCTGTAGTCCCAGCTACTCAGGAGGCTGAGGCAGGAGAATGGTATAAACCCAGGAGGCGGAGCTTGCAGGGAGCCGAGATCACACCACTGCACTGCAGCCTGGGCGACAGAGTGAGAGTCTGTCTCAGAAACAAAACAAAACAAACCAGGATATGAGAGCCCGACAAAGTGGCTCATCCCTGCAATCACAGTACTTTGGTAGACCGACTTGAGTGGATCACCTAAGGTCAGAAGTTCAAGAGCATCCTGGCTAACGTGGTGAAACCCCATCTCTACTAAAAATAAAAAAGTTAGCCAGGGGTGGTGGTGTGCACCTTTAGTTCCAGCTACTTGGGAAGCTGAGGCACAAGAATCGCTTACACCTGGGAGGCAGAGGTTGCAGTGAGCCAATATCATCCCACAGCACTGCAGCCAGGGCGGCAGAGTAAGTCTCCATCTCAAACAAACACACAAACAAAAAATAGAAAAAAAAGAGACATCAAAAATTCTTTTGTTCTCATTGTATAATAGATTTCCTTTTTTTTTTTCTGGTTCCTCTTCATTTCTCTATTTTTTATTTTTTATTTTTTTTTGCAGTTTGAGTTTGAGATAAATCTTAGTTTTAAAAATTTTATTTCTGGCCGGGCATGGTGGCTCACGCCTGTAATTCCAGCACTTTGGGAGGCCAAGGTAGGTGGATCACGAGGTCAGGAGATTGAGACCATCCTGGCCAACATAGTGAAACCCCGTCTCTACTAAAAATACAAAAAATTAGCCGGGCGTGGTGGTGGGCGCCTGTAGTCCCAGCTACTTGGGAGGCTGAGACAGGAGAATGGCGTGAACCCAGAAGGCAGAGGTTGCAGTGAGCCGAGATTGCGCCACTGCACTCCAGCCTGGGCGACAGAGCGAGACTCCGTCTCAAAAAAAAATTTTTTTTATTTCTGCTCTCGGCCTTAGTGCCATGTTCTTGGAAACCTCTGTGCCATGAGAGCCAACTGGAGAATGAAGCGCATGCTCAGCCTGAAGCACAAAAGAAGAAAGATGAGGTACAGCTCCAAGTAAACCGCTAGCTTGTTGCACCGTGGAGGCCACAGGAACAGAAACATGGAGTGCCAGACGCTGGCGATGCTGTTACAAGTTGTGGAACTGCATGCTACTATCTAGAGCTTGTCTCAATGGATCTAGAACTTCATCGCCCTGTGATCACCGATCACCTCTGAGACCCACCTTGCTCATAAACAAAACTGCCCATGTTGGTCCTCTGCCCTGGACCTGTGACATTCTGGACTATTTCTGTGTTTATTTGTGGCCGAGTGTAACAACCATATAATAAATCACCACTTCTGCTTTTTTAGCTGAACAATTGAAAAAAAACTTATTTCTTTCTTAATCTATAATGACTTTTGAAAGATGCCTTTGAGGCATCCTACAATCAGCTCATATCATTCATTTCTGTACTTGAGTATTTTCCGGTTATTCTCGACCCCGGAATTCAATAGAATTTTTTTTTTTTTTTAAACAATTTCAAAATAGTTGCTGTTTGAAATCAGCATCCAGTTCAGTTCAAGGTCTGCATGCTTTCTAGTCTTTGTTATTTATTGGAAGTCTTGGTACCTAATACTTAAGTTTGATTGTTTCAGTGTATACTTGGTATAGACGTCAGTGACCTTTTAACTAAACATCAAAATATAGTTTAACCAGTTAGTCTGTTTTTCAGTTTTCTTTCCTTTTGTCATTTGTTAAAATCTTGAGCTGGGAGCTGTTTATTGCGTGTTTCCCTCAAGGCCCTCTGGTCCATTCTGTAAAAATATTGAAACATGGGCTGCATTGGAATAGAACACTCCTCCAAAAGAACCCATGTATTCTTTTCTTTTTCATGAAATGGAGTCTTGCTCTGTCGCCTTGGGTGGAGTGCAGTGGTGCAAACTCAGGTCACTGAAACCTCTGCCTCCCAGGACCAAGGGATTCTCCTGCCTCAGTCTCCCGAGTAGCTAGAATTACAGGCACCCACCAGCACGCCCGGCTAATTTTTGTATTTTTAATATATTTTGGTATCTAAACATCACATGATGGACATATTTGTTTTCTGGAAAAACTCCGAGGAAAGCTGCCCCCATAAAGACCCATTGCCATAAAGCATCTCCTTTCTCTGTCACATCCTCCACCCTCCTTACAAACTCACTGGGCAGTAGCTACTGTCAGTTCTGTGTCAGGTGTCAGAGCAAGTCTCGTACACGTGTATTTCTGCATAAAGCAAAACAGTGTTGAAGTGTTGGGACGACGAAAATTTTTGGGGGTGGTATGGAGAGATAATGGGCGATGTTTCTCAGAGCTGCTGCAAGCGGATTAGGGGTGGCATGGGAACCTAGAGTGGGAGAGATTAAGCTGAAGGAAGATTTTGTGGTAATGGGTGATATTGTGGACTTGTTAGAAGAAATATTTGTCACATAGAATTATTGGTGATGGCCTGGATACAGTTTTGTTTGAATTGAAAACCTAATGGAATAAGAGGAGAAAAACAGGTAGTAAAGGACTAAGAATTGGGAGGACCCAGGACATCCAATTAGAGAGTGCCCAAGGAAGTTCAGCATAGCCCTGCCAGCAAAGATTATTTATATACTTTAAGAGTTAAGAGTGGCAGTTTGGGAATAGCACCAGGAGATATCAGCTGTGATGTCTTGGAGAAATAGTGTAAACCAGCAGTGTAGAGAGCAGGGCATTTATGAGTAGTTGAGATCAGTGAATACAGAAGATAGTAGGGATGACAAAGTTTTGGGGACACAGTCCAAGTAGGTCTGGTGTCTGGAATGAGATTGGGACCTGATAAAAAGGAGTGTTGATACAGGAGCTCAAATGGGCTGTACCCTGTAGCATTCCAAGGACGGGACCTAATTCTGAGAAGGGCAAGTGGTAAAAGTATTGTCCAGTCCTTTTTAAGTTAGTGACCGAGCTTGGTGAGGTGTGTTTTGAAAAGACCATTAGTCCATTCTATCTTTTCTGAAGATTGAGGAAGGTAAGGAGTATGAAGGTTCCACTGAATACCAAGAACCTGAGCTTGGGTGATTTAACTAATAAAGGCTGGTCCGTTATTGGACTGTATAGAGGTAGGAAGGCCAAACTGAGGAATTATGTCTGACAGAAGGGAAGAAATAACCATGGTGGCCTTCTCAGACCCCGTGGGAAACGCCTCTACCCATCCAGTGAAAATGTCTACCCAGACCAAGAGGTATTTTAGTTTCCTGACTCAAGGCATGTGAGTAAGTCAATTTGCCAGTCCTAGGCTGGGGCAAATCCCCAACCTTGATGTGTAGGGAGGGGAGGGAGCCTGAGAAATTCCCAAGGGGTAGTAGAATAGCAGATGAAACACTGAGAAGTGATTTCCTTGAGGATAGAGTTCCATGATGGAAAGGAAATGAGAGGTTCTAAGAGGCAGGTTAGTGGCTTGTAACCTACATGGAAGAGGTTATGAAATGATGACAGAATAGAATGGGCCTGTGAGGCTGGAAGGAGATAATTTCCTTGGTTCAAGAACCATTTGCCTTGTGTGGGAAGAGATTGACAGGTGGAAGTTTCAGTGGGGGAGTGGCCAGATGAGAAGGAGAAAAACTGCTGTAAGAGATAGAAGTTGGAACACTAGCTGCTTTTTTAGCTACCTTATCAGCATAAGTGTTGTCCTGAGTGATGGGATCTGAAGCCTTTTGATTACCCTTGGCGTGAATGGCTCCAGCTTCCTTTGTAGGTAAAGGGGCTTTGAGAAGGGTTTTTATTAAAGAGGCATTAATGATGGAGGACCCTTGCATGGTGAGGAAATTTTTTTCTGCCCATATAACAGCATGGTGGTGCAGGATATGGAAGGCATATTTAGAATCAGTATAAATATTGATGCACATTCCTTTTGCAAGAGTGAGGGCTCA